GGGGATCAATCAGGGGGTCAGGTGATCAATCAGGGGATCAGTCAGGGGGTCAGGGGATCAATCAGGGGATCAATCAGGGGGTCAGGGGATCAATCAGGGGATCAATCGGGGGTCAGGGGATCAATCAGGGGATCAGAGGATCAATCAGAGGGTCAGGGGATCAATCAGGGGGTCAGGGGATCAATCAGGGGGTCAGGGGATCAATCAGGGGATCAGGGAATCAATCAGGGGGTCAGGGGATCATCAGGGATTCATGAGATCAATTAGGGGATCAAATCATTTTTTTGTGGGGACAAAATCATTTTTTGGGAGACAAAATCATTTTTGGGGGGGACAAAATCATTTTTTGGGGGACAAAATCATTTTTTTGGGAGACAAAATCATTTTTTTGGGAGACAAAATCCTTTTTTGGGAGACAAAATCATTTTTTTGGGAGACAAAATCCTTTTTTGGGAGACAAAATCATTTTTCCGGTGTGAATCCCCAGGCTGGTGGCAGCGGGGCGCGCGGCCCACCTTGGTTCCCCCCACGCTGATGATCCTGTAGACGCTGCGCGTGGCATCGTAGAAGTAGGAGACGGTCAGGGCGTGTTTGCTGGCCGGGATCCAGTTCCGTTTGGTGGCGGGGTCGATCTGGAAAACGTGAGCCCTGGTGCTGAAAATCGGCTGCTCCCTGCGGGGTGGGGACGGGAAAAGAGGGATGTGAGGGCAAGGAAATGCGGGGATTTCCTTCTTCCCCTTATCCTGGACGCGTCTCCTGCCCCTCCCAAATCCCAGCCAGACCTTCCTGAGGGGGAAAAATTCCCTCTCCCAGAGCTCCCCACATCCCTAAATCCTCCAAATCCTGATTTTAGAAGCCGGGGGAGAAGCTGGAGTCATCCTTTGGCTGAGCAGAAGGAAAGTTGTGTCCCCTGTTTGAGGTGACAGCGGCTCTCGCTCCCCGCTCATCCTGGAAAATCCCCCTGGCACAAAACCAGGGAATTCCAGCCCAGTTTCACCCAGTTTGCACCTTCCCCTGGGGATTGGGCTCCGCTGCGCCCTTGGGACGCGACGTGGGGGCCAAGGAGGGGCACAGAAACGGGCACAGAAATGGGCACAGAAAGCTCGTTTTTGGGGTAGGGCTGGTGGGATCCTCACGGCACGGCCGTGGGGCAGGGATGGAGGGATGGATTCAGGGATTGAGGGATGGATGATGGATGGATTCATGGATTCATGGATGGATTCATGGATCCATGGATGGATTCATGGATGGATGGATGAATTCACGGATGGATTCATGGATGGATTTATGGATGGATTCACAGATTCATGGATGAATTCATGGATGGATTCATGGAGGGATTCATGGATGGATTCATGGATGTATTCACGGATGGATTCATGGATGGATTCATGGATGGATTCACGGATGGATTCATGGATTCACGGATTCATGTATGGATCCATGGATGGATGGATGAATTCACGGATGGATTCATGTATGGATCCATGGATGGATGGATGAATTCATGGATGGATTCATGGATTCATGGATGGATTCATGGATGGATTCATGGATGGATTCATGTATGGATCCATGGATGGATGGATGAATTCACGGATGGATTCATGGATTCACGGATTCATGGAGGGATCCATGGATGGATGGATGAATTCACGGATGGATTCATGGATGGATCCATGGATGGATGGATGAATTCATGGATGGATTCATGGATTCATGGATGGATTCATGGATGGATTCATGGATGCATGGATTCATGTATGGATCCATGGATGGATTCATGGATGAATTCATGGATGGATCCATGTATGGATGGATGAATTCACGGATGGATTCATGGATTCATGGATGGATTCATGGATGGATTCATGGATTCATGGATGGATTCATGGATGGATTCATGGATGGATTCATGTATGGATCCATGGATGGATGGATGAATTCACGGATGGATTCATGGATGGATTCACGGATGGATTCATGGAGGGATTTATGGATTCATGGATTCATGGATGGATTCATGGATGGATTCATGGATTCATGGATTCATGTATGGATCCATGGATGGATTCATGGATGAATTCATGGATGGATCCATGTATGGATGGATGGATTCATGGATGGATTCATGGATTCATGGATGGATTCATGGATGGATTCATGGATTCATGGATGGATTCATGGATGGATTCACGGATGGATGGATGAATTCACAGATGGATTCACGGATGGATTCATGGATGGATTCATGGATGGATTCATGGATTCATGGATGGATTCATGGATGGATCCATGGATGGATGGATGAATTCACGGATGGATTCATGGATGGATTCATGGATTCATGGATGAATTCACAGATGGATTCACGGATGGATTCATGTATGGATCCATGGATGGATGGATGAATTCACGGATGGATTCATGGATGGATTCACGGATGGATTCATGGAGGGATTTATGGATTCATGGATTCATGGATGGATTCATGGATGAATTCACGGATGGATCCATGTATGGATGGATGAATTCACGGATGGATTCATGTATGGATCCATGGATGGATGGATGAATTCATGGATGGATTCATGGATTCATGGATGGATTCATGGATGGATTCATGGATGGATTCATGGATGGATTCATGGATTCATGGATGGATTCATGGATTCATGGATGGATTCATGGATGGATTCACGGATGGATTCATGGATTCATGGATGGATTCATGGATGGATTCATGGATTCATGGATTCATGTATGGATCCATGGATGGATGGATGAATTCACGGATGGATTCATGGATGGATTCACGGATGGATGGATGAATTCACAGATGGATTCACGGATGGATTCATGGATGGATTCATGGATGGATTCATGGATGGATTCATGGATTCATGGATGGATTCACGGATGGACAGACAGACAGACGGACGCAGGAACTGAGCACACAAAGCTCCTTCCCCTCGGCACAGCTCTTCCTGCCCTGACTCATCCTGGAAGCACATCCTGCTCATCCCGGGATTCGAGCAAACCCCCCCCGCTCCCGAATCCAGGGGAACTCTGCCCCTCCCGCAGGCGCAGCTGCTGCAGCCCCGAGCCCAGCGGGGTTTGGAGCCAGGAATATCCGAGCTGAGCGGAGCAGCTCGGGGATCAGGATGTAACCGGAGCGCTGCGGGAATGTTTTCCATGACACAACAGCCCGGCTGCACCGGGGCTCGGGGGATTCCTCAAACCCCGGCCGCGCTCCGCACCCAAATCCAGGGAAATTTTAGGGAATTTTGGCAGCTGCAAGGCCCAGGCGCCGTCCTGCTTTGTGGAGCTTCCCCAAATCCAGACTCCTGGCGCTTCCTCGCCATTCCAAGCGCTCCCAGCTGCCGTGCACAGCCTGTCCCCATCAATCCCAAGGCACCTGGCGCTTTCCACCCCAAACCTTCCCAGGGAATATTTGATTTCCCTCCCAGCCTGTTCCACATCCTCCCTGCCGGGTTTTTTTTGGAACAGGACCCGAATTCCTCCCTTTTCACGCGGATCTTTGACACACACAGGGGGGAAAACCGGACTTTTCTGCCCCCAAAACCCCAAATCCTGGTTTTGGAAAGAAGGAAGGCAGGACTTTACCGAGCTGTTGACATTTGTTAGTAAAGGGCAGGAGGCCACAGGCCCGGGCAGTTATTGGGGTGTCCCCTCCTCCAGCAGCTCCTCCTCAGGGCTCCCTCAGCTCCTCTGGGGCTCCTTCCTGCTGGAATTCACAGGGATTCATTCCCTGCCGATGGAAAGGTCCATTTGTTACTCCCCACACAGCCAGGCACCTTTAGTGCCCCCGATATTCCCGGGGATCCTGGTTTGAGGTGATTCCTGCTGGCTGGAGCGGGGTTGAGCCGTGCTGCTGGAGCTGATCCCGCTGGCAGCGGCTCTCGGGACACGGCCACGGAGGAGCCGGGGAGGCTCCAGAGCTTCCAGCCCATGTGGTGTGGAAAACCCTCCTGGGAGAGCATTCCTTGGGCACAGCAGCTGCTGCTGGGCTCCTGTCCGTGCAGGAGTGCTGTCCTTCTGTCCCTGTCCATCCATGAGGTGTCCAGGATCCCATCCCTGTGTCCCTGTCCGTGCAGGAGTGCTCTCCCTGTGTCCCTGTCCGTGCAGGAGTGCTGTCCTTCTGTCCCTGTCCTTCCATGGGGTGTCCAGGAATCCTGTCCTTGTATCCCTGTCCATCCATGGAGTCCTGTCCCTGTGTCCCTGTCCATCCATGGGGCTGTACCCAGATCCCATCCCTGTGTCCCTGTCCTTCCATGGGATATCCAGGAATGGTTCCAAACTGACAGAGAGTAGGTTCATGTTAGAGGTGAGATATATAGATACACTAGATACATTATATATATATATATATATTAGCTATATTAGCTATATTAATTATATTAATATAATATCCCAAACCTCCAGAGATCCCAAACCTCCAGGGATCCCAAACCACCAGAGATCCCAAACTTCCAGAGATCCCAAATTTCCAGAGATCCCAAACCTCCAGGGATCCCAAATCACCAGAGATCCCAAATTTCCAGGGATTCCAAATCACCAGGGATTCCAAATCACCAGGGATCCCAAATTTCCAGAGATCCCAAACCTCCAGAGATCCCAAATTTCCAGGGATCCCAAATTTCCAGAGATCCCAAACCTCCAGGGATCCCAAACCACCAGAGATCCCAAATTTCCAGGGATCCCAAATTTCCAGGGATCCAGGAGCAGCCACAGCTGCTCTGGGAATTCCCTCCCCTCCCAGGGAAGAACTTTCCCACCGTCTCCGCTGGAATCCTTTGGGCAGTTTGTCCTGGCGGGGGAGGACAGAGGGACAGGAGCTGCTCCAGGAGCTCCTCAGGAGCGCCCAGGCCAAGCTGCTGCTGCCCAAAACAAATTCAAAATAAAAACCTTTCCAAAAACAGCTCCGGGATTCCAGCTCTGAATTTCAGGATCCCTGGAATGCCGACGCTTCTTTTCCCGCCCAGCCCCGGCAACAGCGAGTAAATAAACGTAAATAAATGAGCGAATTAGAAAGAAAAAAAGAGAACTAAATAATAATAAATAAGTAAATAAATGAAACTCACATTTCCCCCAGGGCTGGCCTTGGCAGGGCATTAAGGAGAGCCAAAGGACAAAGATCTGGCCGGGTGCTGATGGCAGCTGGAAGGGATCCAGCTCCCATCCCTGGCAGGGGGAAGGGCAAAGCTCAACATCCCACGGCTCCAGACGGATTTTCCCGGCTGGAGAGCCCCGGGATGGAGGGAGGGCTGGGAAATGAAGGGGTTAAATGGTGATTTTTAGCACGGGCTGAGCTGGAAAGTTCAGCTTTTTATCTGAAGGGTAAAGAAATGAGGAACTGGGAGCTGCTGCAGCTCCCATCAGGGGATCCAGGGAATGTCTGGGGAGGATCCAGGGATCCAGGGAATGTTTGGGAGGATCCAGGGATCCAGGGAATGTTTAGGGAGGATCCAGGGAATGGTTGGGGTCACGGGGATCCAGGAATGGTCACAGGGAATGTTTGGGGGGATCCAGGGAATGTTTAGGGAGGATCCAGGGAAGGTCACAGGGAATGTTTGGGGAGGATCCAGTGATCCAGGGAAAGTCTGGGGAGGATCCAGGGATCCAGGGAAAGTCTGGGGAGGATCCAGTGATCCAGGGAAAGTCTGGGGAGGATCCAGGGAAGGTCACAGGGAATGTCTGGGGAGGATCCAGTGATCCAGGGAATGTTTAGGGAGGATCCAGGGATCCAGGGAATGTTTAGGGAGGATCCAGGGATCCAGGGAATGTTTGGGGGGATCCAGGGAAGGTCACAGGGAATGTTTGGGGAGGATCCAGGGATCCAGGGAATGTTTAGGGAGGATCCAGGGATCCAGGAAATGTTTGGGAGGACCCAGGGAATGGCTCAATCGATTCCAGTTTGCTCCTGCCCGGGAGGACCCAGGGGGCTCCAGGAGAGGCTGTGGAACCTCCACACTCGTTTCCACCTTGCTCCTCACACGAGCTCCCTCTCCTCAGCCCCAAACTGATTTCCTCAGGAAATCTGCCTGTCCCACCAGGACAAACCCTAAACCTTTATTTGTGCCCTCTCTGCCACCAGAACAAATCCCAAACCTTTATTTGTGCCTTTCACTGCCACTACAGCAAATCCTAAACCTTTATTTGTGCCTTCAATGCCACCAGAACAAATCCTAAACCTTTATTTGTGCCCCTCAGTGTCACCAGGACAAACCCTCACCTGTCCCCGCGGCTCTCAGGGACCTGGCAGGTGGGCTCAGGGTGACCCAGGACAGGTGGGCTCAGGGTGACCCAGGAGCTCGGGGACAGCGCGTGGGGACAGCAGGGACAGGTGGCAGCAGCAGCAGCAGCCCACGAGAGGTGCCAGGACCAAAGGCAGCCCTGGCTGGGCCATCTGTGCTCGCCCGGGCCGGCCTTGCAAAGCCTGGCTCTGCTGAGCCGGGTCTGCCCGGATAATCCAGGGATGGGATGAGGCAGCTCCTCCTGCAGGGACACCCAGAGGGGCTGGGAAAGGCACCCCAAAGCAGCTCTGTCCACCCACACCCCGTCCGTCTGTCCATCCACACCCTGTCCGTCTGTCCATCCACACCCTGTCCGTCTGTCCACCCACACCCCGTCCGTCTGTCCATCCAGATCCCATCCCTGTGTCCATTCAGGAATCCTGTCCATGTGTCCATCCTGACCCCGTCCCTGTGTCCATCCAGATCCCATCCCTGTGTCCATCCTGACCCCGTCCCTGTGTCCATCCAGATCCCATCCCTGTGTCCATCCTGACCCCATCCCTGTGTCCATCCTGACCCTGTCCCCCTGTCCATCCTGACCCCGTCCCTGTGTCCATCCTGACCCCATCCATGTGTCCCTGTCCATCCTGACCCTGTCCCCCTGTCCATCCTGACCCCGTCCCTGTGTCCCTGTCCATCCTGAATGGGAGTGGGGCAGAAATGAGTGAGCTCAGGACAGAATTGAGTGAGTTTAGGACAGAATTGAGTGAATTCAGGACAGAAATGAGTGAGCTCAGGACAGAATTGAGTGAATTCAGGACAGAAATGAGTGAATTCAGGACAGAATTGAGTCCAGGACAGAAATGAGTGAGCTCAGGACAGAAATGAGTGAATTCAGGACAGAATTGAGTGAATTCAGGACAGAATTGAGTGAGTTCAGGACAGAAATGAGTGAGCTCAGGACAGAATTGAGTGAATTCAGGACAGAAATGAGTGAATTCAGGACAGAATTGAGTGAATTCAGGACAGAAATGAGTGAGCTCAGGACAGAATTGAGTGAGCTCAGGACAGAATTGAGTGAATTCAGGACAGAATTGAGTCCAGGACAGAATTGAGTGAGTTTAGGACAGAAATGAGTGAATTCAGGACAGAAATGAGTGAGCTCAGGACAGAAATGAGTGAATTCAGGACAGAAATGAGTGAGCTCAGGACAGAATTGAGTGAATTCAGGACAGAAATGAGTGAGTTCAGGACAGAAATGAGTGAATTCAGGACAGAATTGAGTCCAGGACAGAATTGAGTGAATTCAGGACAGAAATGAGTGAGTTCAGGACAGAATTGAGTCCAGGACAGAGCTGAGCGTTCCCAGGACAGAGCTGAGCGTTCCCAGGACAGAAATGATCCCCAGCCCTGGCTGCTGGCCACGCTGACTCAGCTGAGCCCTGCCTGGAGCCCGGCCGGGCTCTCCCCGAGCCAGGAACCCCCAAAATCCCCCGGAGAGAGGGGGGGCTCGGCCGGGGGGGTCCAGGGAGAGCCAGGAATTCCAAACACACGGGACACCAACACCACTGGGAGGTTCTGCAGTAATTCAAAGTTCAAATAAAAATTAAATTAAAAATTTTTTTTGGGGTGGAACGATGGAATTAAATTAAATTTGGGGTGGAATAATGGAATTAAATGAATTTTGGGGTGGAATGATGGAATCAAATTAAATTTTGGGTGGAATAATGGAATTAAATTAGGAATTTTTGGGTGGAATAATGGAATTAAATTAAATTTTGGGGTGGAACAATGGAATTAAATGAATTTTGGGGTGGAACAATGGAATTAAATGAATTTTGGGGTGGAATAAGGGAATTAAATGAATTTTGGGGTGGAACAATGGAATTAAATGAATTTTGGGGTGGAACAATGTGGTTTTTGCCTCTCTGCCAGTGATAATTACACGCTGACTCCTCATCCCAACATTTTCCAAGGGCTGGAAACTCCAACATTTTCCAAGGGCTGGAAACTCCGGGAAGGAATCCCAGGGATTGAGGGATCTCAATCCCGAGTTTTGGCCTTGTTAAACCTCTCCTGGCAGCTCTGGAAGTTTTTTTTATTTTTCCAGCAGATCAGAGGGAAAAGCGCCAGGAAAAGAGGAGATTGAACCTGGATCAGGCAAATCCTCTTCAAAGGGTTCCTGTCAGCCTCACGCTGCTGCCACTCCTCAATTCTGCTTTTTCTGCCTCCCCAATCTGTGTCTGATCTCTTTATCTAGGTAATCCAAAAGGAAAAATTTAAAAAAAGAATATTAAATAAAAAAAAAAAAAAAAAAAAAGAGGGGGTAAACGGGATTTTTTATATTAAAAAAAACCCCCCAAGGGTTTTAAAGAAATAATGAAAGAAATAAGTAAAATAAATAAACGGATTGTTGAATTTTTAATTAAATAGTAAATAAGTAAATAATGAATGTGTTGGTATTGATTTTGAAGTAAATAATAACATAAAGGATGAATAAATGGATTATGAAATATTGAAATAAAGAAGAAATAAATTATTACATTTTAAAGAAATAATAAAATAAATTAAGGATTAATTAATTAATTAAATTTTAAAGAAACAATAATGAAATAAATAAAGGAATTATTAAATGTTGAAATAAATAATTAAATAAATAAAGAAGAAATAAATTATTAAATTTTAAAGAAATAATAAAAAACTAAAGGATTAATTAATTAATTAATTAATTTTAAAGGAATAATAATGAAATAAATAAAGGAATTATTAAATTTTGAAATAAATAACAAAATAAAGGATAAATAAAGGGATTGTTAAACTTGAAACAAACAGCGAAGTGAATAAAGGACAAATAAATGTATGGCTGAATTTGAAATAGATAATAAAGAATAAATGAAGGGATGATTAAATTTGAAATAAATAATAAAATAAACAAAGAATAAATTTATTATTAAATTTGAAAAACGATAAAATATATAAATAAAATAAATAAATAAATAAATAAATAAATAAATAAATAAATAAATAGATAAATAAATAGATAAATAAATAAATAGATAAATAAATAAATAGATAAATAAATAAATAAATAAATAAATGAATTTTAAAGACATAAATTAAATTCAAATAAATGTTATTTATCCCCTCTTTGCCCTGCCAAAGGCCAAGTTTTGGAATTATCTGACAGGATTCCTCCAGCTCCACAGCCCCCTCCTCAAAAAAAAAGCCTGGATTGCACAAGGAACTCACAGCAACGCTTCAGCTCCTAAAAGTTTGAGGCTGGGAATAATTAAACTCCTGTTTCCATCTTTCCGTGTCCCAAACCATTATTCCACCCTTGGAAAAACCTCTGGAAAACAGCCTTGGGAAAAGCACCCTTGGAAAAACTCCCCACAAATCACCCCGGAGTTCATCCAGCCAGAAAAGCAAACGGATCCCATTTTACAGAACGCAACAAGCCCAATAAAATCCTGAATTTTTAACTCCTGGGAAAGTTTGAGCCGCTCCAATCCTCCCAAATTTGTGTTTGAAAGCCTCGAACGCGAATTCACTCCAAGAACTCGCGGCCACTCCCAATCCCCCCCACCCCAAAAAAAAAAAA